CATGCATATTTTACCTTATTGCTTGTAGATATTACATTAGCATTATGTAGAATTTTTGGAGAAAGCCTCAAAATATAAATATTTCATTCAGCACGTATTCCTAGAATTGTTTATCGTGTATCTTCCCCGAGGTACTCTCGATACCAAGTTCGCAGAACTGACAAGTTCTCAGTAAACCTCTGAGGTCAATTGGAAACAAGATTCCTACTGCAAATCGATATTTCCAAGAAAATTAAAACGAATTATTACCTGTTGTTGCTAAGTGTACAAACACGAAAGTGTGAGTAATTTTTTTATTATTAATATCAAATAATTGTATTGCAACTTTCGTGGGACATACTTAATAAATTATTATGTTTTCGGCTTACTCACGTTATAATTTGAGGAGGTACTCGACTAGTTTCAAGCCATGCTAGAGGCTCATATTCATCAGCAGCATTTCACGACCCGCGACGCGGCGACTGTCGCACTGCTACTAGCTACTCGAGTCTGCGCGCCCTGTGTCTGGCATGGCTTAAAACTAGTCGAGTTCCTCGTCAAATTATTACGTGAGTAAGCCGAAAACATAATAATTTAATATCAAATAAGTTTGCGATTACACCTGGTGATTAGTAACTGAAACTTGAAAAATGAATAAGATGTAAAAAATACTGCATTGTATCGTTCCTGACCTTCTGCGTCCAACTTATGCGCAACACCCGACGGTAACACCACATTTCAAATGCCTTTATGCGTCTGATGGTGTCATATTTTAAGTTCCACGCTGCGCAACCGTATATAAAGACAGGCCACACGTCACACAGTCGCCCTGAGGACACGGTAGAACACACGCATGCCCTCCGTGGCCTGAGCACCGCCGTGCCCTCAGTGATGTGATCGGCGACGGCAAACTCTCGCGTCCGGCCCTAGTTCGGGCCATGATGCGGAGCGAGGAGGACTGGGATACCGTCTCCGGTTTTGGTTGGGCGGCGAGTAAGAGGAACGGAGTGGTTTTTAGTCAGTAAGAGTCTGAGACTCCCTCCCGCCTCACCCAGGCGGGAGAAGATTCGATGATTTTCACCCCTTAAAAAAAAAGATAGCACAGTAGCATCCGGAAAAAATCTACGTAGGTACCGACCTACGTAGATATTTTCCGTTGATTTTGACGAATTTTAATTAAATATAATAAATAATGGAAAACGTACGTTTTCTTTTCTACGAAATTCCCATAGATAGTATGGTAAACAAAATTATTTATAACCGACTAAGTTGATGTGGGTGGCTTTGGAAAACCATTTAAATTGTGTAGTAGGAGTTTCTCATAATTTACGGAGTCCGAATGAAAAACATTTTGCGATCTTGTATAAAACCGGCAACTGTATTGTGTTACTTATTTAGACCTATTGTGAATGAGGTCATATTCTAAATGTCTATTAGTACCTATTCTTAGTATCTATCTAGAATCTAGACACTAACAATATGGGAATTACGTTGTCGTCTCGTCCTTGCTCTCGAAGATATGACCTGAAACCAAACAATGGGAACTGTTACATTATTTCTGTTAAATACTTTATACAATTATTGACTTCGCTCAGTTTCTCAATGTTCTAAGTAAATAAATGCTGAATTATTTTGTGTCAAATTGAAACTTTTGACAAATATAAACTTATTAGCCTGTTTTGCTCGCGACTTCATCTACGTGGAGTAGTGATTAAAACATGTTTTTAATTTTATTATTATGTAGCCTTTTAATTTTATTATAATAAATCCAAAAAGAGGAGGTTAAAGTCGGTTCTTTTAAAAAATTATTGTTTTAAAATATTACCAATTCTTTATAATGTTACTATAGATAAATGTTAGACAGATGCATTATAAAAACTAAACAGAGGAAAACACAAAGCAAGCCTTATTGATCCTCCTTTATCGTCGTTTTAAACGATCACCCAATAAATATATACTAAGTGTATCCTGCATCTTCACGATGTAATGACGCATTCGACTTAAACGGTGCGGTGACGAATCTGGACTCTGCGCTCCCAAATAAAAGCAAAATGGTGAAATAATATGACGACAGTATAGTGAATCATTTGTAAGATGACGCTGTGATTGTTCCAAGTGATGTGTTGAATTATATTTCGCTAAGTAAGCATTATGACCGTTTTAGTTTTTACGCTCTATGGCTTAATATACTTCACGGATTGATTTACTTACTTACTGAGGATACTAAGTAAAGATTCTTTGTTCAGTTTTTTCTTATAATTGGTTGGTACTTTCACGTGCTTAGATGGTTTTAATAAATTAGAAGTCACCAGTCACAGTTATACGGGTTGTTAACGAAACGCTCTAGAAAAACACGGACAGGTGATGATCAAAAACAAGTTTTATTTTTATAGAAGTTAGGAATTAAAAGTTTATTTTATGTAATAATAGTTGTAAACAACTGCCCAAGGCTGATGATGCATAAATAACAAGATGGTTCGGATGGAGCGGTCCGGTTACACCCTGCTCCATAGACAAAATACTATTCAGAGCCTGTGCAACAGCGCTCTCTAATAAACCTGAATCTTTCGAACTGCAGTCACCGCTCCCCCGTCAGTCAAGCATGGAGCTAATGTAATCCCTCTTCTTTAGAGGAACACCAGACTCTAGCAGTGGACTGCCACTAGCAGAGAAAATTAGACCTTTTTTTCAAGGGGGGAAATTTTTGAATGACTTCTCCCGCCTGGGTGAGGCGGAAGGGAGTGTCGGACTCTTACTAACTAAAAATCACCCCGTTCCTTCTCCTGCACGTTGAGCCGGAGCCCCGGTAACCCGTTAGGTTCTCCGCGGCAGAGAATATTAGCCCTTAGATCTAGATTTTAAAATAATATTTCGATTGACTTCCTCAACTTGTAAATAAAGTCTGCTATTTTAATAAAATGTACCAAGTATTTCGAAGTATACATATTATTGTTGTTGTTTGTAATATACATGCATTGCAATAAAATTACTAGGATGCCGTGCCCGGACGCCATTCTTCAAATCCGTACTTAATTTCCCCTCCACACGATTTATAGCGATTTAATAAATGGTTATTGTTTTATTTGTATTCTTTGCTCAATGAATGAAATGAAATATTGAATTAACTAATAGAATTCTACCGTTTCACTTCTAAGAATAACGTTTAAGATAGGATTAACAAGGATTAAGTTATAAGCTTGCTTTTACTAACGACTATGCCTGCATGAATTTATGTCCTTCTCTAGCCGTGCTCCTAATTATTTGAAGGCATTCGAGATGAATGGTTGAGTACGTTTATATCAAAACTTTCGTGAGTAATACTAAATTAATTATTATGGTTTACTGCTGCTGCTGATAGCGGCGCGAAAGCCGCTACCAGCCGTCGCTGGACGCGGCATGCAGCTCATAAATATGAGCCTCTAGCATGGCTTTAAAGTAGCGAGTTCCTTGTCAAATAGTTACGTGAATAAGCCGAAAACATATTAATTAATGGTTGAGTAGATAAAACTAAAGTGAACAAACAAATATAATAAGAGATATGAGATATCCTTTCCAGTTATTATATTAATTTGTGAATGTTTACTTTCTATTAGGAAAGCATAATCAGAGTCTTAACTATAATACACTAATAGTCAATTTATATCACCCCTAAACCATCTCTTGACTAACAGTTAGCCTTATTTTGAACCTAACGGGTAACCGGGGCTCCGGCTCGACGTGCAGGAGAAGGAACGGGGTGGTTTTTAGTCAGTAGGAGTCTGACACTACCTCCCGCCTCACCCAGGTGGGGGCAGTCATTCGATGATTTTCCCCCCTTAAAAAAAAGCCTTATTTTGAGGGGACAGTCATCGAATGACTTCTCCCGCCTGGGTGAGGCGGAATGAGTATCAGACACAAAAAAGCTTAACCTTTTGTGTGCCTAAAACGCAGATCCACGCGAGAACATTATGTTTTCTATTGTATCTCATATCGGTGCAGACGAAAGGGTAAGGGATCCTTAAAATTAAGGTGAGGTTGGTGAATACGGGAATAGATCTTTACTAACTACTTACGTATGGTAGGTATCATATGAAATCCTTTGATAACTTAATTAATTGGCAAGCAAACAGCTACACGATCTTGTAAACGACTAATTACAAGACAACTTGGTTTATTGAAACGGGTCTTAAGCTTGTTGTAAATCGGTTTAGCTTTGCCGATCGCAATCCAATACTAGATTTACCCCTATAAGGAGAAATTGTTTAGAGATAGTATTAAAGAACGTACGACTATGTACATAATCGTCGATAAGAAAGTTTATTGTAATAGATTGGTTAATTTTATTGTAGACAAAATACTAGATGTCACTACATAGTATAAAACAAAGTCGCTATTTGCCATCTGTCTGTCTCTATGTATGCTTAGATCTTTAAAACTTTGCAACGGATTTTGATGCGGTTTTTAATACATAGAGATTCTTCAAGAAGGTTTATATTATAATACATGCATATTGAACCCCTACGAAGCCGAGGCGGGTCGCTAGCGTAATATACAATTTAGTACTGTTTTTACTGAAACTTATTTTTTAATTGGAAATTTTGTGAATGATTACTATTATTAGATAACAACTTGGTATTGAGATGAACGATACGATAGCACTACTTAGTTAAAACTTTAATGGATTTTAGTTGATTATTTGTGAATATTTTCTTATACACCGTTTTCGTCCCGAAGTAAAATGGTTTTATCTTGATAATACAATAGTTTTACAAGGAAATAATATGTTTAAAACAAAAAACAACTGGTGACCCATTGCAAAAAGCAAACTTCGACAGCGCATAGGGACTCATAGTATCTATATTAAAAAAAAATATTACGCCATGTAATTCTCGAAGATGTAGTTCTCGTCGGGTAGCACGTGCGATGCTAATAGTGTCTACAAAATTACGTGTAGTGTTTCATGTGCACATTTCCATAAATTTTTTTTGACACCTTTATTTTTATGTTTTTAAATTACTTTATACATCGAAAGTACACCTTATGGCAAGTTGTTTCACCGTGGGACGATAGCGAAATATATTTCACGGTGTATTATTTTGATTGAATGATAGATAAAAGGAAATGACAAAAGATTTTAAATAACTGTTTACAATGGGAAAAGCTAAGAATTTCTATATACACAGTTTATTCAAGCTTTCGAAGCCTTCACGTCGTTTCAAGGCCTTAGGGCTCGTCCACAAAACTGCGATGCGACGTCGCATCGCAAAAATGTGCGAGCTCCCTCTACGCAGCGCAAGAACTTGCGAATTGATTCACATCGCGCATCAAAATCTTATCTTCCCAAAACCTTTATTTCTTTTTCCTGTATCTCCTAAATAATAACAGAAGTGCACACTTCTTTTTACGATACATGTCACGACCTAGTTTTAAATGTAAAATACGTTTAAATACGGTTAAAGGAATGGTCCGCCTTGTCGCACGAAATCGCATGGCAGCAATTGTCGTAATTTTTAGCGTTGCAAATTCGCATCGCATCGCAGTTTTGTGTACGAGCCTTTATTTATATAAATTCATACTAGTTCTACTTAGGTCACAATGTAGAACAACATTAACGCTGTCAATTGATCAGGAAATGCTCCAGTTTTTCAAGTAAGCTGGTTACACAATACCCAACTTAAATGTGATTCTAAGTTGAAGTTAAGTTACCAGCAGTCGGCGACTATCTTTTAGCACCTTTTTTTGAGGGGGAAAATTATCCAATGGCTTCTCCCGCCCGGGTAAGGCCAGAGGGAGTATCAGACTCTTACTGACTAAAAACCACCCCGTTCCTACTCCTGCTCTTCGAGCCGGTGCCCCGGCAACCCGTTAAGTCTTCCGCGGCTCCGTATCGGCATCAGCCCATCTTTTAGCACCTACAATTTAAATAATTTTAACCAATTTCAACAAAATGAGGTTCTCAATTTGACCTGTATGTATGTTTTTTGAATATGGTTTATAAAAGAGTTATATTGGTTGGTATATTTTTATTACTATTGAACACTTATAAATTATGTCTGTTGTCAGCAAGAACAAGGCAGCTGATAAATTATAATAACTCCGAAATATTAACAAATTATTAATTCTCTCTCAGCTCTAAGCTTGCATTACCTTCGGAAAATTCTCGGACTTATATCTGTAAAGTACTACAATTATTAGCCGCAATTAATTTACCTGGTTTCATTGTATTTTGTAGCCAACTGTACACTGTAGCTACAGGAAGAAACCCCATAAGGAATATGCAGTACCTATGTACTTTTATTAATAATTTTATTGTCCGTGTACATAACCTAGTAAATAAATAAATAAAATGTTGAACTGTAAAAAAGAAAATGTTGAACAGACAGTATTCTAACAACTAGTAAAAGGTTTATCATTATTCATAACTAACTTTTAATGTCCCACTTATCGATACCGAGTGGAAAGCTTCAGTGTAACTATGCATGTTATTACATTGTTATTGAGTTAGTATCTCCCGTCGACAGTCGACACACAATCTCGTTAGCACCAGCGAAATAGGATTGACACGAAACGTAATCATATTGCCTGAACGCAACATGCATACATACATACTAACTAGACTTTTATTAATAGGGTAGTATCCTTTTTTTTTAATCTTTATTTACTTATATATAAATAAAAGTATTATTGGGGTTTTTATCCCTTAAGGATATGCCAACCCCATCGTACCTTATTCTAAAGGGTAGTATCCTAAATTTTATTTTAATGTCCGTCTGGTAGATTATTTTAAAATATAAGACACGATTTTTTTTCTTTTCTCACAAAATTCAATACGTCGAAACGGCTTGAAATATCGTGTGACGTCACGATTTACTCCTTTACTCCGTTTGTACTAGTATTGTTTTCTTATAAAACAAAATAAAAAATATGTGTCTAATATTTTTTCATTATTTAACTGAAGAACTTATTACATTTTATTTTCATACACTGTTTACTATCCTATTGTATTAAGTCGACAGTTTTGAACCACTTTTTTATAATGCAAGAAATCTTTTTAAAGGCGCCTAGCATTTCCGGAAAAACATCTCCTTAACAAATCTATTGTTCCGACTATTATGGCGCATCCCCAAGCTGAGTCAAAATATACATTAATTGATTGTAAGCTCTGAGGAGGATGAACTGAAACTCACGGTAGGAGCTCACTGGACAAGAGTAGCCATGGACAGGCAACATTGGAAAGAATTGGAGGAGGCCTTTGCCGTAAGGCACACCGAAATCAGAGACATTCTGTAACGGCATGCGTGAAAATAGCAGTATAAGATTTTAAGAAGTAGTAATTATAAGACTTGTAAGAATTTATTTTGTTGCTAATTGTAAGTTTTCGGAAATAAATGGCTATTATTATTATTATAAGCTCTGAAAGTTAGTCAACTAAGATAGTTAACTATTACTTACAGAATAAAAATAAATTTTAGTAAAACATAACATCACGCCTTTTATCCCTAAAGGGGTAGGCAGAGGTGCACATTACGGCACTTAATACCACTCTACAATGTAACACTCACTTTTCACCATTTATGTTACGAGTCCCATGTAATAGGGAGTGAGCCTATTGCCATGTACTGGGTACATTTCCAGACTCCGTGCTACTACTGAGAATCTTTTTTGGAAACAACCCAGTAATACTTTGCCCGACCCTGTAATCGAACCCGAACCCCTTTGCCGATTCGCACTTGCGATGATCTGGCCAATGACGCAGTCAGTTCAGTAAAAATAAGTAAGTAGTATTCGTATGTAAGCTTGTTTGTAAGAGTATCAAGTTTGGTCCTTGAGACTTATTCAATTTTTGTACCACTTAATTTGTATTTTAGTAATGATTTAAAAGATCCAGTTTTAAGTTACGATTAAGAACCACCTAGATTTAACAAACCGTGCTTTGACTGGCAGATAGAAGTTCTACATATATAAATAAAAAATAATATTTCCGTTCGTTAGTCTGGCTAAAACTCGAGAACGGCTGAACCGATTTAGCTAATCTTGGTCTTGAAATATTCGTAGAACCAGGAAAGGTCCAAAATGTGAAAATTTTTTTTTCTAGGCGTACGAAGTTCACCGAATCAGTTAGTCTTTATATAAAACATTTGCATAAGTAATCTTTACAATGAAAATAAGAGTTTACGTCATAGAAACTCCCATAATACCATTTAAGTTCATCGCTTATTGCAACTTGGCTATTTATTCGTAACATCTCCAACCCATAGCCTCCTTTGAAGCGTGGTTTTATTGATCAAACAGTTTCAGAATTGAATCGCTATTGACTCGAGAACATGAAAACCCCGCTCCCGTTAACATCGTATTCCTGAATTTTATGGATCAATATTATAATCAAAACTATAACAGTCAATAACTTATCGCGCTTGTTAACTTGAAAGTCAAAGTCAAAATCATTCATTTCAATTAGACCAGGGAGGCACTTTTGAACGTCAACAAAAAATTTTGAAGTGAAGCTATTTGCTCATTCCAAGGTTAAGATTCCTATGGGGAAGAACAAGCAAGAAACTCCATAGGTTACTCTTTTTCAACCAGGTTCACAATACAATTATTTAATTACTTAGTTTTGTTGATACAATTGTGTGAGAACAATGTGACATAAAATCCAGTCAATGAGATGTAAATTATAAATACTATATACAATTAATATATACATACACAGAAGCTATCAATATTCACTATTCATAGTTACGATCAATATCAAAGTGTGACAAACTGGATTAATGATTTAACATTATATACAAATAAATAAACTCTAAATGCAACTCTCCGAAGCTTTTACCATTCGACTAGTTCATAAACCAATGCAAATCATTCATTACTCAATCGTAGAACTAGCTTACAACTTAGTGCCTAACTTGTGTATACTTTATGTAATAGTCTAGGCACTAATGGAAAGTTTCTATTTGCAAACAATACTGTTAGCTTCGGTTCTCTTATTTGGTGGCTTTGAATTATGTGATTACTAGATTCTGCCCGCGACTTCGTACGCGGAATCCCGTTTTCTCCCGTTCCCGTAGGATTTTTAGGTTTTTTTCTGTCTTAAGAACCTTCTCCTAATAATAAAAAATACAATAAAAAAAGAGTTAGTGAAATCGGTCCAGCCATTCACACATGATGCCGTCACCAAGGGAAAAAGAAATTCATTTATATATATATATATAGATTTGTTTGTGACGTCACTGGTTCAGTACGGTCACTTTTCGTGTCATGCGGCCTAAAAAATACGTTCATCATCGTCATATCAGACTTCCGAATTGTATCCAGTAAAATAATGTATTTGTTAATAATATTAAAATAATGTATTTGTTAAGCTTCATCTTGGACTTCCAAAATGCTCCCTGAAAAAAAACTGTACTGGTTAAAAATACTGAGGCATTTTCAGATGTTCACAAGCTAATTTTCCAAGTTTTTCTTTTCGAAAATATGGATGACAGACAGTATTATGTAAAATCGCCTGGAGAAGAAGGAGATTAGATTCTTATCGACTAAAGTGCTGCAGAGGACTTAACTGGTTGCCGGGGCTCCGGCTCGAAGGGCAGGAGTAGGAACAGGGTGGTTTTAGTCAGTAAGAGTCTGACACTCTCTCCCGTCTCACACAGGCGGGAGAAGTCATTTGATGATTTTACCCCTTTTATTTAAAAAAAACACCTGATCAATGATCCATTTGCTCGTTTGCCTCCTTTTTCATAAAAAAAACACCCTAGTTACAAAATCTATACATATTTGCTAATGTAATATTACTTATCCAAAAATGCATACATAACTCGACTGTGATTAGCAGAATCCTGAATCAACATGATTTTTGCGCTGATAAGATTACAAGAATCATTTATAGTTATTACTCGCTTATGACGTCACTACAGATACAGATACTCGGTAGTAGCCCGGTGTACTATGTATGGCAATAGACTCACTCCCTATTGCATGGGACTCATAACATACTTAAATGGTTTTCTACGTTATGTTTTTGAATTAGGGGGAAAGTTTTTTAAGCAATCCAAACTAATATTATACCTAAATGCGAAAGTAACTCTGTCTTCTCTTCACGCCTAAACTACTGAAACGATTTGTGTGAAATTTGGTATAGACATAGTTTGGAACTTGAGAAAGGAAACATATAAGTTCACATACACATGACACACAGACCCGGAATAACAATTTGTGGATCACACAAAGAGTTGTTCCGTGCGGAAATCGACCCCGCGACACATTGCGCGGCAGTCAGTTGCAACCACCGCGACAATTAAAATTAAATAAAGCTTTAGTAACAAAATAAGTTTTTGATCAAACTTTGTACCTTTTTAAATTAGCTCTCGGTTCTCAATCCAAGCATGCAATCGAATGCTATTTTCCACAAGTTAAAGCTGTTACCGCCACTTGTGGCAGTCGACAGGATGTCAGGAAATTACTAAATCTCGCGATAGCGACACGATTTAACTTGACTACCTACTTTGCGATTGAACTGAATTGAACTGAATCTAGTTATGGAAATTGATATAGGTTTTATTTCGATAACCTATGATATAGAATAAAGATTTTCGGCGCAATAGAGAAACTATAAACCTGTGATTTTGCATGAAATGTGGTTATCGTCCACAGTTTTGCATCAGAATTTCTGTTCAGAACTAAAGATTTATGTGATATATAATCGCACTCGCTCTCCTTCACCTAAAGGTTGGCTAGTAAGAATGCCCATGGTATTAACCCCGCCTATGTACTCTTGTTGCTTAAAGTTAAATAAACAAATAAATAATCTACATAGTATAAAACAAAGTCGCTGTGTATCATGCTTAGATCTTTAAAACTTCGCAACGGATTTGATGCGGTTTTTTAATAGATAGAGTGATTTTTAAGGAAGGTTTATATGTATAATACATACAGATTACACTCGTGCGAAGCCGGGGCGGGTCGCTAGTAGTTGTATTAAATATTGTTGTCCATGTATCAAAATCGAGTCCAAACCAATAACGTTATGTAGAATATTCAGTGTTCAATCAATTCACATTGACACATTGTAATGTATGCAAACGGATAGTTTTACAAAGGACCTTGGGACTTCATTATCTGTCGGTGATCGTGGATGGTATCACAACTAGCACTTTGTTCCTATACCTAATTACTTATACTATATGTTTGTAATTGTAAATTGATGCTGCATTCGACAGGGCTTATTTAGGGGGGAAAATCATCAAATGTCTGCTTCCGCCTAGGTGAGGCGGGAGGGAGTGTCAGACTCTTACTGACTAAGAACCACCCCGTTCCTTCTCCTGCGCTTCGAGCCGGAGCCCCAGCAACTCGTTAGGTTCTCTGCGACTCCGAATCTTGGTTTATTAAAAACTAGCGTTTACCCGCGGCTTCACTCGCGTCACAAAAGGATAAAAAGCCAATGTGACATATACCAATACACACAGCGCCATCTATACCACATACTACCATACTTTTGTTTTTTCCTCGGTAATATTCCATTTTTCCGGGATAAAAAGTACCCTATTATTTAATCCGGACTTCTAACTTTACGTCTGCAAAATTTCAAAGCAATCGGTTTAGTAGTTACGGCGTTAAAGTGGAACAAACAAACAAACTCACTTTCCGATTTATAATATAAGTAAGGATTTACATCACTGGAAATTTGTCATAGATGTACCATACTCAGAAATATCATCAACTAGCGAGCCAGCGATTTCACCCGCTTTCCCGTATAATAAAAAGTAGCCTATGTGTTATTCTACACTATAATCTACCCCTGTTTTATATTTCTTCCCGATCATTTCAGCCGTTCTGATGTGAAGGAGCAATAAACAAACATACCAACTTCTAATCTTAAGTTAATTCTCAGAAACAGGAAAGATTGACATATTATGGACATATAACTCTAATCCCCAAAAGGCCGGTAACGCACTTGTAACGCCTCTGGTGTTCCAGTTGTCTATGGGCGACGCCGATTGCTTACCATCAGGTGATCCGTCTGATCGTTAACCGGCTGATGCCATAAAAAATGTCTATGTTTCCATAATTTCAACGCAAAATTAGTTTTATTTGTATTGATTCTAAGTGCGAAACTTAACCATTACATTCAACCGTTGGTGAGATTAGTGATTAAGTTCCTAGTGTTAGGTAAACTTGCGAAATAGTCGACCTGTGAATATATTTCATAAAGATTAATGTTAATAAGTTTAATGACTATTCTCTTCCTGAAATACTGAAACTAAGTTTAGGTACTAAGTTTAGGACTGCCTCGTTTGTCGAGTGGTCGCTAGTGCGACTGCCGGGCAAGGGGTCTCGGGTTCGATTCCCGGGTCGGGCAAAGTATTACTGGGTTTTTTTCAAAATTCTCAGTAGTAGCACGGAGTCTGGAATTGTGCCCGGTATATGGCAATAGGCTCACCCCCTATTACATGGGACTCATAACACATTAGTGAAAAGTGGGTGTTACATTGTACAGTGGCATCAAGTGCCGTAATGTGCACCTCTGCCTACCCCTTCGGGGATAAAAGGCGTGATGTTATGTTAAGTTTAGGTACTGAAGTGAGTACTGACTTATTGCCGATTTTAATCATTAACAGCCCATAAGTGGCAACTGCTGACCAAAAACCTCTTCAAACCCATGTGAGAACAGGTCTTCTCCGTAGAAGGTTTGATCGCCACGCTTGCTCAATACGGGTTGTGGTTGTGGGTTGGTTTAACTCGTTGAGTACCGTCATAATAGACACAATTAAAGAACAAAGAACAATAGGTTGCGGTCGCCGGTGACCGCGCGGTGTTTGACATTTTAATAAACGATCTCAATCCATAATCTTTATATCAAGATCGTCTTTTGACATTAGTTCTATAGATTTTCTGACAAAAATTAAAATTGATCCATAGTTTCAGGATTAACATCGGTTGAAATTGGCAGTTAGCCTATTGATGTGAATATTTTAGCGTATTTTCTTAATGTACTGACCTAATCATGTCTTACTTTACATTTATTCATTACTTAATAACATGGCCCCTGCGTTACATCTCGTACCTAGTAGGATAAGGACGTATTAGAAAAAAAAAAGTAATTTCCATACAATTCTATGATAAATAACATCATCTTATACATCTTTTTGTACCTTCAGTATACTATTGAGGTTTCTAAAATTTCCTATTACTAAATTAAGACCATCCCAAAAGACCCGTCCAGCAAAATATAGTACCAAACACCACTGCTTTTCCATCAATTCCACCGACCAATAAAATAAATCTGTTCCGAAATCCACGTAACAAACAAGACAAACAATATGTCTTACAGACTCTGTGTTACGGACGAAATCGTGCGTGAACCGTAAGGACAAAATAATAAAGAAATTCACGGAGGAAGCGATTTAATGGCTTGGATACAATGTATCCGCTGAAGGAGACTACTGTATACCGTGTTATTATTTCTATTGCGCAAGGCGTTGAACACCTCTTTAAAGCGGTAACATAGATAACTTCATGCTTGTTGCTGTTATGGGTCCTGCTGAAATGTACCTACATTGTTATTTGTTAGTATGCTTTTTCGCATTTTACTCTATTTTTTGCATCTGAATATTTTGGTTGTCTTTCTTCCTTATCAACGTTGTTTTTAAAATAACGAACACAACGGAAAATATTTAATTTAAATGAAATCACTACTTTACCATTTTCTCAACGAATTTTCTTTTATTTTTTATAAGAGTATCAAGTTAGTTTGCGTGATGCGATTATCAAGGAAAATTGATATTTATTTAAAGAATGGAAGTAAAATTCACTATAACCCCTTAGTAACCTTAAAGGATCTAGGCCGACTTAACCCGTAGCCGTTGTACCTAGATATTGATTGACACGAATTCTAGAAATGCGTATAATGTATGGTAAGTCCTACACCTTAAATATAATTACTTAGGTACTAGGGTTGGGCGGTGCTAGGGTTCGCAAAATGTTCGTGAACGGGCACCGTCGATTGGAACTGGTCAGCTCTAGACTGTATCTTTTTATTTTATTATCCTCAAGGTTATTTTCTTTTTCAGTCTTTCTGACTGGATTTGGGTGTTGCATTGTTCTCACATAATCGAACCAATAAAACAAAATAAAAAAATTTTTGAAGAAAGGAAATTAATAAAGATCTGTTCAGTGCAAAATTGTATTCCCAATTTTCACTGACGAATTTCTTTCTTGGCACACTGCTGAGTCCTGAAAATCGTTATTGTAGTAAAAACCGGGTCCATTGGTTGGCCATTCATATTTATTTATTTATTATTTATATACACACATACAACATAAAGGACAACACGTATATAAAATATAAGTACAAAGGTACCACCTATTCCTATTGGAATTTCTTCGGGGCAGGAAAAGTAATAATGATATAATGACACAGTGTGTAATAACAAATAAAAAATTGAGATAGCAAACAGATGTAAAACTAAACAGATAAAAAAAGAAAAATTACAAATGCATACAATGTATAAATAAATACACACAAAATATAAACTATACATCTAAATAAAGAAATTTACTTATCAAGAGAAAAGGCAGTGTTCTCTCACTCGTCTTTTAAAGATAGCGTACATACTCCATAGGTAGATCTAATTTAATTATGTTTATAGATTATTTTCATTACAGTATTTACGTTTTAGTAAATACTGTAATGAAACCTACTAAAAAACAATTTGATAGTCTCTCGAAATTTTTATTGTTTACAAATTGAATATATTCAAGCGCTCGTATTCAAAATATGTTTTACAAGAATCAGTAGTCCTAGTCATCTACTCGCTACGAGTTTGTCATTGCGCCAAAAGAAACACAAAAGACATGCAGGATTTCTATCTCCCTCAAACATTGCAATGTTTTCTTAAATTAACAACGCAAACATACTGGAAAAGGTGGGTTTTCTCGACTGAGAAAACCCGAAACAAATGTTGCTGCAAACTCTGCTAACCTAGTACCAAAACTGAAGATAATTTTAAATAAAATTTTCGCAATACGTCTTTCTACCAAAACCAGGTTGTAAGTCCAATTCCTGCATTAGAATATTGAAATAATGAGTTCTCATAACATAACATACCAACACGCCTTTTATCCCCAAAGGGGTAGGCAGAGGCACATTACAGAACTTAATGCCACTGTACAATGTAAAACACAGTCGAGTTCCATGTATTATGGGATGACCCTATTGCCATATACCGAGCACAATGCCAGACACCGTGCTACTACCCGGAATATTTTTAAAAAACAACCCATTATTACTTTGCCCGACCCTGGAATCCGAGTCCCCTTAGCATTTTCACCCATTCGGCCAACAACCCAGTCGAAGTCAAAGAATAAATTCTTCTGTTCATAAAAATATTTTCATTTTCATTAATAATAAAATGGAAACGTAAGCGTTGGGGAAAGTACAAGGAATTTCAATTAAACAACATGGAGTAGCTTACAATGCTTGTTCAACTACGCATAGGTCGGAAGAACGTATTTAGAGAAAATCTGGTAGGTGTAATTGACCTAACTGAGTACAATGTCAGTTAAACAGTTGCAGCCTGTTGTGGCGTGTTGCGTCTGTGTGTGGCGGTAATTGAGACGTCCGGGTAACCATCGCATGCAGGGGGAAACGCACGGGGTACCAGTGTCGTGACGATGCAACAGGTCGCACTATATATAACCATGTGTAGAATTGTAGATAGGAAACGAAATACGAAAAAAGTAAAGCTAGAAAACTGACTAAAAGTTGAAACTGTCAAGATCATTTTCCTGCGTTTACTTATCCCAAAGTCTTTAGTTAAAATCATGAAGTAATTTTGTAGTAATTCTAGAACCTCTTTTATTATTGATTTAAAAATGACAGTGGATCTTAGAAACTGTACAGATACTGTAATCTCGATGCTACATGGTGTCTCAGGAGTCAGAGCTCGTACACAAAACTGCGATGTGACGTCGCATCGCAAAAGAGTGCGAGCTACGCATCGCAAGAACTTGCGAATTGATTCGCATCGCGCATCAAAATCTTATCTTCCCAAAATCTTCTTTGTTTCTTTTTCCTGTATCTCCTAAGCAATAACAAAACTAGTTTAGTTTAGTATAGTTTTCAATTTCAAATACGTTTAATACGGTTGACGGTCGTCGAAGAAATGGTCACCCTGGTAGACGCCGTGGCGCACGAAATCGCATCGCAGTTTTGTGTACCAGCCCTGTCTTTAATTTACGTAAACAAATGAATACCTATATGAGAAACTGATAAACTTTTTAGAGACTCACAACAAAT